ACCCTTCTGACCAAGCAGAGCAAAAAGCCAAACTGTTCCTCACCTCGCAAATTACCCAGCAGGCCTGCTCCCACCCTCAGCAGTAACATCTCCTCCTCACGTCCTCCAGTCAGCCAAGACCCCCAGCCCAGACGAGCCTCAGGCTTGGAATGAGTGATGCTGACGGATCATGACAGAACCCCGACTTCCCACCATACCAAGTACAGATCCTGCTGGCTTTCAAGGCTTCTCAGAAGTTGAAATGTGTGCCTTCATTCAGCCCTTACTGAGCTTGTGTTTTTGTTGTCGTGTGCTGTCAAGTCGATTCTGACTCATAGCAACCCACAGGACAGAGTAGAACTGCCGCACAGGGCTTCCTAGACTGTAATCTTTGTGGGAGAAGATCACCAGGTCTTTTCTCCCATGGAGTCTCTGGTGGATTCAATCCGCCAGCATTTTTGGTTAGCAGCTGAGTGCTTAACCATTGTGCCACCAGGGCTCCTTTATTGAGCATATACTATGCGTAAATAGATTTCACTTCTCAGCACTCCAGAACCAGCCTGCTTCAACTGCTCTGCCTCCGCCATCTGTCTATTCCATGACCTGTGACCATGACACAGCCCCATCCCGAATGACTGCCACTCCTTTCTCGCTAGCTAGCTCAGTCTTCCCACCCCTCATGACCCAGCTTCACACACCCTCCTCGGAAGGGCCAGGCCGCAGCAGCTTCTTCCTCTAGCCCCCTCCAGCACCTCATTTATGCCACATTTTCCAGTGTTTGCTACTCAGCTGGGGCTGTGATGTCTCATGGGTGTCCTGCTCCCCATGGCCCCGCCCCAGGTGGGTAGCGGGGTCCTCGAGGGCCTGAGGATCCATGGATTTCACCCAGGTCCTGCTGCTTCTGCCTGTGACTAGTCCTCTCAGCCTCAGCCTCCTCATCAGTGAAGGGGGGACTCTGAGAGACAATTGTGACTCTGGGGTTTGAAATAGCAGGGCAGGACAGTGACACGAAAAGGCTTTACAATCTCTCGAGAGGTGCATGCACACGTCGGTCACTCTTACCGCACTCTTCCCCACCTCTGCAGCTTCCTCCAGGCCCGGCACAGAGCCAGGAACCATTGACTCCATGGATGAGTCTGTAAAACTTGATGGGCTGGGGAAGGAAACCTGCCTGAGCCTCAACCCTTGGCCCAGGTAGCATGTCTTGGGGCTTGGAAAGGGGATTAGGACAGAGTGAAGGCCCTCCAGTGTCACAGCAGATGGTAAAAGTCCTGAGTGAACTGTCCTGAGAAGCGAAGAACAGAAATGGCTTCAAAAAAGACTAAAATCTGCTGGGGTGGGTTATTAGGGCTACTGGGGGGTTATTAAAGCAGCCCTGGTGGTGCAATGGTTAAGCACTCAGCTGCTAACTGAAAAGTCAGCAGTTCAAACCCACCAGCTGCTCCGAGAGAGAAGGGAACTGGCTATCTGCTCCTGTATAAGTTAACCAAAACCAAACCAAACCAAACCACACCCGTTGCTGTCAAGTCGATTCCAATTCGTAGCGACCCTATAAGACAGAGTAGAACTGCCCCCATAGGGTTTCCAAGCTGTAAATCTTTACATAAGCAGACTGGCACATCTTTCTCCTGCAGAGCTTGGGTTTGAACTGCTGACCTCTCGGTTAGCAGTTGAGCACCTCACCACTGTGCACCAGGGCTTCTTCAGTAAAGGTTACAGCCCAAAAAACCCTATGGAGCACAGTTCTAGTCTCTAACACATGGGATTGCCGTGGGTTGGAATCAATTCAATGGCAACCAGTTTGTTTTCTTGGTCTAGGGGGTTATTCAGGTGAAGTGTCAGCAGGGACATATCGCCCTCCTGTCCTGGTGCCCCAGGGAGGCACAGGAAATGGGAGTGGGAGAAGCTGGATCCCAGCAGCTCTCAGGCGACTTGCTGCCCCAAGAGCAGAAAGGCTTAGGCCCACACCAGGAGTCCCAGGTGCTGGAACCCTAGCCTGGGCAGTGGCTCCCAGCCCCCTCGCCCCAATCTCAGAGCTGGAGGGAGAAGGAGGGGCTACCTTGATTCTGGAAGTGCCCAGACAGACCTCATTTCACCCTCTTAGGCTCCTGGGTAGACCCTGGCCCTATCCAGCCTCCCAGCAGTGTCACACTCAGCCCCTGGCAGGGGGAGAAAGGGTTCAGGGGGGAAGGAAGAAGAGGATCACCTCCCTCTCCCCGGTCTGGAGGGCCTGCCCAGCCACTGAGAGGTGGGAGAGGAGAATCTGACAGGGGGCACCTCTCGGGCTGGCACCCCCGCCCCCCGCCCCAGGCTGGGCAGAGAGCATGCAAACAAGACAGGAGAAGGAGCCTGGCATTAAATGTCAGGAAGAGCCCAGGGCAACTTGGCTTATGCAAAGTTTGCTTTGGGAAGAGTTGTTCCACTTGACAGGCACTCACTTGGCTGAGGCTCCAGGTGGGGCATTGAATGGGATGAAGGTTGGGGCAGGGAGGAGCATCCCAGACCAAGTTTGAGCCCCGAACTCCCTGCTCTCTAGCTCTGGGACCGGGGCAAATAACTTGGCCTCCTCTGAAACTCGGTTGTCCCATCTGTTAAATAGGCTGTCAAGAGCATGTCTTAAAAAAGTTGTGAAGATTGAGGGGGACTGTGGATGCGGATCCTTTGTGGGTTATGAAGGGCTGAGGATGCAAGATGGTGGCACCTGGGAGCAGATGAGGGATGGTGCTGGAGAAGGGGGGAGGGAAAGGTAATGGGTGAGGAATGAGAACAAAGGAAGATGCAGGTGGTGATGGCAGCTGGAGGCAGAGGGTGGGCCCAACGGTGGGATCTGCGGGAGAAGAGAGGATGATGTTACAGGAGGCCTAGGCCCTTTGCCCTGGGGTCACCTAGCTCTCTGGCCAGCCCAGAACAGCTGCTGGCCTCACATACCCATCCCTGACCCCTAGGAGGAGCCAGACTCAGAGTTCCTGTCCCACCCCTTTACCCCACATAAGCCTAGGGCTCAAGGCTGGGAAAGCACACAGGCTTGCAAAGCAGACAAATCCAGCCAGGCATCCTGCCTCCACCAACTCCTATGCAGACTTCAAAGCCCCACTCCAGGCTGTCTCATCCATGAAGCTTCCTTTAATAAGTCTTAAGTTCCTCAGAGGCCATCTTGTCCAACTTCTCCTTTCACAGATGAGGAGGTGCAAGTGTAGGGAGGAAAAGTGACTTGCCCAAGATTAAGCAATGAGTTATGGTACTACAGGCCCTTGTCATCCACCCAGAAGGCCTTTGTCTCCCGGTCAGCCTGAACTGACTTCCCCAGGTTCCACTCAAGCTGCACCAAGCCATTTAGCACAAAATTGTTCTCTAATTGTTTCAGGGCTATTAACTTTGTACCTGCAGTGACCTCAGTGTTCAAAAGTGGATTTTCCAGGTTCTTCGACTTACTGCCAGCATCACACTTTCTGAGCATCAGTTGAGCACCTCCTGGATGCAGCCCTTTTCCCTCAGGCTGGGTGGATAGAAAGCCTTGGGCCCTGACTATTTCAGAGGGTCCTTGTAAAAACTGAATGCTGTCACTTCTGCCAAAGAGCTTTATAACTGGTTACACTCAATAAAGATGTCTGGTAGGAACTGAGTTTTTAGCTCTGGAACTCTCCACTGTGCCTGGTACAGTGTAAATGCTTGTCCATTCATAGTAAGGCTCTCAAAGGGGAGAATCCCTAACTAGTGAGAGGCCACCTCCTCCACACCTTAGTCTCCTGGAAGCTCTGAGGATGCTCTCCCACCCCTCAAATTTGTGAGTTTAGGGTGACGAGACTCCAAGCAGCAAGTCCCTGGCTCTGGCCCCTCCCCCAGCTGGGCTGGGGGCAAGCTCCACTGGCCAGGCTGAACTGTGGCCAAGGCCCACCCGTCAGATGGAATCTCCCCGCAAGCCCTGCCTGCCGCTCGGGCCTGGGGCAGCTCAAATGCCTGTTTGCTTTGTTACTCAGCAGAACAGCTGGTGCTGGGGAGATGCCGCTTGATTGGGGTTTGCCGCAAAGTTGTTTATTGGGGAGGTGGGGGCAGGAAATGAGGCCAAGGCCCAGCCTTGGCCAAGAAGGAGGAAAAAGACTATGACCATCATAAAGGGGACAGGTCACTCTTGGCTTGTGGCCTGGGTGGGGGCTGTTAGGTGGGCCCGGCTGGCAGGGTGGGGAGTAGGCCTGCCCACTTCCCAACACACATGAGCGCTGCACACACACACACACACACACACACACACACACTCCCAGTCCAGCCTTGGGGGAACCCCCAGTCACCCAGGCCCCTCAGCCTTCCCCCCTGTCATCCCCACCACCCCCTTCGCTTTATGCCCACAGGAAGAATCTGGCAAATCTTGGAAATGAGAGTCTTTAAAGGATTCCCCATCACAACTGTTGCTTTCTTCCTGTTCCCAGATTGGGCCCATGGGTCCTCAGCTTCTCCAGGGTGCCCAACTGGCCAAAGTTTGCCTGAAGCTCCCCCAGACCACCTGGTTCCTGTGCCCACCGCTGCTCAGCCCAGCCGCTGGGTTCTGGGATGGAACTCCAGCCTTGGCCCTGAGCCTCCAGGCCTCCTGCCCACTCAAGTCACCAGGGGGCCCCTTCCCTTGGCAGAGCAGCCCCACTAGCAGAGCAGAAAGGCTGCTTGTGTTTCGCTAGCCAAGCAGAACTGGGGCCGCGGCTCTGCACCTGCAGAGCTGCCACTGCTCAGGTGGACAGGCTGGGCTTAATGTGCAGCCTTGAGGGGGTCATCGCAGACCCGGGAGGTCCAGGCCTCGCCAGGCAAGGGTGCTAACCCAGGCTCTAGGGGCAGCCCAGGGAGGCCGAGTGGGCGCCTTTCAGAGGGCAGGTAGGGGATTCTGAGGGTGAAGGAACCCGATCACGGATGCCTGGGAGATGAGGCCTGAGCTTGCAAAGTGCACCTTCAAGGCCTGCTCTCAATTACTCACCATCCCTGCAGCTGGCAGGGGAAAGCCCCTTGGCTGGACCCTCCATGCCACCCACCAGACTTACCCGTTGGCTGCCCAGTGCCCAAGGAGTCGTCTGCTGCAGTGCCAACCTCAGGGGCCAGGAGGAGGTGTGGGCAGCCTGGGCCACTGCTGTGTCTCAGCTGGGCATCTGGGGGGCCAGGGGGGCCAGAGGCCAGCAGGGCTGGGGGCAGAGGCAACACTCGGGTAGGACGCCGGAGGCCTGGCCACCCTCGAGGGGTGGCCCTCTGAGGTCTCAGGGCTGGGCGTCCTGTAGGGAGCCCTCTGCTCCCAGCCCAGAGACACCTGCTGGTGCTGTGGCAGGGCCCAGCCCCCAGGAGCTTAGAGAAAGGAGCAGCGGACTGGGGGGACCAGGTCTGCAGGGCAGTGTAGACGACGGTAAGTGCAGGAATGTGCAGGGAGGAAGTCAGGCAGCCGGGAGATGAAGAGTTGGCTGGGGCTTGATTTCCCATTATAAGTAATCCTTCCTTATTTACCTGAACAAATACGCTCCCTGCTTACCTCAGACCACAGGCAGGCTCCCGGTTAACCCTTGCAGGCCTCCCCCTCCTCACTGGAAGATTTGCACCCTGGCAGCCAGGTAACTCACCTACCCACTCACTCATTCACTCACTCACTCACTAGTTCACTAGTGAGTGGAGAGTTACTGAGCTCATATGATAGGCGAGGCAGAGGGGATATATTGAGGTCCCCTGGGCCCGGGCCCGAAGAGGGCTCAGCCAAGGTCAAGGGACAGGCAAACAAACAGTAGTGCGATCCCAGAGCCCTCTAATAGAGGGCTTTGGGAGCATTGAAGGTGGGCACCCAGCATGGGAAGTCAGCAAGGGCTGCCCTCAGGAGCTTCAGCAAACCTTGGGTAAAGGGATCCCGAGGCTCGTGGGCAACCCCCTGCCCTGGTGGGAGCTGTTTTGCGGTGTCCCACAGGGGCCTCTATGTGGGCTGGCACACAGTACTCAGGAAAGATGTGCAGCTCGCTTTCCCAGGCGCACAGTGGGGGTCCGCAGGCAGCAATTTCCTCTCCCCCAACCCCCAAAGCATGGGGAGGGTGGGCAGAGAGGGTCAGCGGGCCAAGACACCCACCCTCAGGCATCTCCACCTCCATGAGTCCCGGGAAGGGGCCCTGTAGTGGAGCTTCTTCCTCATCCTGCCAGGTGGGCTGAGGGCAGTCCCTGGAGGGCAGGAGCTGAGTCTTCCTTTCTCTCTGTCATCTCAGAAGGGCACCGAACATTGATACTTCCACTCCATCAGGTGAGGGGTCCTTAGATAGTGTTTCTTGTTATTTGCAGAAGTCCCTGGTGGCACAAACAGTTAAGCGCTACACTCCTAGCTGAAAGGTTGTTGGTTCCAGCTCATCCAGAGGTGCTCAGAAGTAAGGCCAGGTGATCTGCTTCTGAAAGGTCACAGCCTTGAAAACCCTATGGAGTACAGTTCTACTCTGCACACATGGGGTCGCCATGGGTCAGAATCAACTGAATGGCAACTAACCACAACATTGTTATTTTCTAATTTCAGAAGTAATTTTGTGGCTGTCTACAGTATTCTAGGGCTTCAGGAAGACTCCAAGGCCTTCAGAACTAGCAACTTCACCTTAAACTATGCCAAAATTCCCCACCATTTAGTTGGGCTTTTCCCCCCTGGAGAGCCCTATACTTGGCTATTATCATCACTGACATCTTGGTGAGAAAGAGTTATGAAAGTCATTCCCCAGAGAAAGTTAAGGTCCTTAAACGGCTACAGCTGATCATCCCTGTTCTCCAGTGGCCCAGCCTCCCAGGGCCAATAAAAAGAACAACTCCTATATTCCCAGGTGGAACCCCTCTATGATGCCTTGTGCACCCTGCTTCCCCATCTAGGCAAGGACCCCTCCTCTCTGCTCTCACAACAGCTTGTGCTTGTATCACAGTAACTGTTGCATTAATAATCATGGCTGCTCCTCCATGAACAACTAATTGCCTCCTTTGCCATGAGTCCAGAAGAACTGGATGGTGCCTGGCTACCATTATCAAACGTTTTGATCAAAGATTCTATGGCAGAATCCTGATCAAAAGGGGGGAAATTGCAGAACAGAATTTAAAATTTTTATAGACTGCAGACTTTCTGGATCCATGGAGGCTGGATGAACCCCCAAAACTATTGCCCTGAGATAATATTAAAGCCTTAAACCGAAAATATCCCCCAAAATTTCCTTAAAACCAAACAACAGCTTAGCTTAAATAGTAAAGAATATCTGCCTTGAGCATTGTGCTCTTTTAAGAACTATTTATATGGGATCAAATAGACAACTGGAAGCTGAAAGATTAGATACAAAACTTAGAGGGCAGTGAGTTTATGTTAACGAGCAAGGAACAATTTGGAAAAGGAGGGTGAAATGGTTGTGCAACTTGAAGAATGTAATCAATGTCACCGAATTGTATATGTAGAAATTGTTGAATTGGTGTATGTTCTGCTGTATATATTCTCAACAACAACAGCAAATAACTACATAAAATAATGGCTGCTACTTAATGAGCACCTGCTATGTGCCAAGAACTTTTCAGTGATCACAAGACACTAAAGTATTAATTATGTTATCAGTACTGTAACATGGATAAGTACAGGGAGTACCCTATAAATGCTTATTGAACGGATGGGGTTTCAGAGATAGCTAGTTACTCCCAATATCCATTCTCCCCTTTCCTTAGTAAACAAGCCCCTGATTTTTAGTTGGGCATGTGAATGCCTGGAATTAAGACTATCCCACTCCCTCTTGCAGCTAGATGTGACTACATGACCAAACAGAAGTGTCACATGCTAATTTCTAGGAATCTTTCTTAAAAGTAAGCTGGCACATACCATTTGCTCCCTTCTTCTTTATCCTTCCTCCATCTTCCAGCCTGAAATGCAGCTATGATGGTAAATGTCTGGCTGCCATCTTGGACCATGAGGACAAAATGTTGAAGAGTGAGCTGGAAGTGGCCTGGGTCTCTGAGGACTGCATAAAGTCTCCATACCATCTCTAGACTGCTTGCCTCAGGACTTTTATGTGAGAAGTAGACTTTTTGCTTTTGTTAAATGGGATATCTATTATTCATATCCAGGCCTGATCCTACCTGAGATAGACCAGAAAATGGATAGATGAAGACAGAGCACTCTGGCCACCAGAGAGGACAGATTAGTCCTGGGTGGCAATGGAGAGGGGCCTGGCTATACCACAGGAAACCTTGATCTTGGGAAGGCTACCCCTTGGAATGCTAGGTACCGCCGCAGCTCTGGGCTCAGGGGAGCAGAAAACTCTGGTGGGCTCTAGGGAAAGGGAGGGCTATTTAGGGTCTGTCTTGATTGAACCTGTGAGGGGACTCTGGGTGACACACTCTCAATACCCTGATTCATTCAGCCATGATGTCATGGCACCAACTGGGGATTTGACTCAAGTACCTGTCCTGGCTCTGTCTCTTTGTAGCTGTGTGGCCTGGGGCAGGTACATGAACCTGCTGAACACCCCCACCCCTTGCACCCAGTGGCCTCTCAGAGCTGCTAAGAGGAGTGAGATGATGTTGGTGAATGTGCTCTGAGAATCCACATGCCCTCTTACAACCTTGCTGTCCACCAACCACATACCATGTGTTTGACACATGTCATCTCTGCTCCTCACAGCAACCGTTCGATGCAGATATTGCTACACCCGTTTCTCAGATGAATAAACTGCAGCCCAAACGTTTAAAATTTCTTGCCCAAGGTCATAGCTAGGAAACAGATTCAAATTCAAGTCGGCTCTGGTCCAAAGGCTACACTGTTTCCTCAACTGCCTCACGCCTGACAGGACCCTGTTACTGCCTTTTCTGTCTCCCTTGGGGCCAGGTCCCGGTTCCCTGGGATGTGTCACAGGGTCCACTGGATCTCCTGCCTCCTGGTCCACAACTCCCCCCAGGCTGTCCTCCTTTTCAGCCCTCCTCTGGCCAGCTCCTATCAGGTCAAGTATGCCCCCTCCTATTCTCCCTTCACCCAGACCCCGCCCACGGCTGTTTATGCCTGTCCCTTATCCAACCCCCTCCAGATCTGGCGGCAGGCACACAACCCAAGTTAGTCCAATGTGACTCTTTCCTGGAACTTTTCTCTGACCTACTGAGATAAAGATATTCTCTCTCTCCACTGCGGTTTCTGAGCCTTTAGGGTATATGTCTGGAGCCACCACCATCAGGGAGAGTACGCTGAGATGGCCCAGAGGAGAAGGGGCTGAACGAGGAGCCAGACACCGTTGTTGTGTGAACACCAGGATGAATCAGTAACTCTCCCCCTCCGCCTACTTTTTTTAATTGCATAGATCTCTTACTTGCAAAGGAAGGAATCCCTATCCTTCAAGGTGCATCTCAAGATCCCTCTCCTCCAGAAAGCCTCTCCATGCCCCCTCCAGCCCTTGCAGACATCACACAACCCCATTCATTTTTCTCTAATTGTTTCCCATATTTCTTTTCTTCCCAAGATTCTAACTCCTTGAGGGCAGGGACCCCAGAGCAACGGCAACAACAGACCCAATGAACAGATGACCATTTCTGGAGCAGCTGGCCTGAGCTTCCCTCCCTGAGTGGACCCTCTCTGTCACTAACCCATCAGAGCACTGGTTGGGGACTCAGGGCCCAGGGCTTGGTGTTAAGTGTTCAACTACTAACCGAAAGGTTTGAACCCACCCAGAGGCACCTCAGAAGTAAGGCCTGGCAATCTGCTTCCGAAAGGTCACCGCCTTGAAAACTCTATGGAACAGTTCTACTGTGACACACATGGGGTTGCTATGAGCTGGAACTGACTCCATGGGCAACTGACAAGAACAACAGTTTACTAGGGTGTGATCTTGAGTGAGTGTGTCCCAGGCCCTCTCTGGGCTTCCCTCACCTTGTCCGTGAAATGGAGATAATAATACCTGCCCCGCGACCTTGCAGTTGCAAAGTTGTTGTTAGGTGCCGTTGTGTCGGTTCTGACTCATAGCAACCCTATATACAACAGAATGAAACACTGCCCGGTCCTGCCCATCCTCACAATTGTTGCTATGCTTGAGCCCATTGTTACAGCCACTGTGTCAATCCATCTTGTTGAGGGTATTCCTCTTTTTCGCTGACCTGCATGATGTCCTTCTCCAGGGACTGATCCTTGGAGAGTGAATGACAATTGACAATGGAAGTGGACATGCTTTGGAAAGGGCAGTCTGTCTGTCGGTAGGTCAGGTCACCACCTTTCCAGCTTTCTTTCTGCCTCCATGTCCCTGCACTCCCATCCCCCCACCTGAGTCCCACCCTCCAGGAGCTACATTGTGGAGGTGGTGGCAGGAGGAACAAGGCTGGGACCCATGCAAGCCCACAGCCCACCCCCAGGAGAGGTGGATTGCCAGTGGGTTCTTGCCTGTTCCCCATGTGGTTGACATGTGGCCCCGCCCCCAGTCCCAGGCTTCAGCTAT